CTTCATACACGACTTCCTCACTGGCGTATCTCGCTCTACCTTTTCATAAATAGTGGTCAGCGGTGTGAAAAGTTTTGTACTCACTCGGCAGCCGGGAACCAGTTTGACGAGTTCTATCAGTTGGAGAGTTGCCACCAAACGAGATGGAGAAAATCCGACCCTTTTATTAATTCTTTCACTTTTTTTATCTTTAACACAGTAGATAGATTTTGGGTTTACCCCTGTTTTCTTTTCTTTTTTTTTAACTTAAAGAAACCAAATGTGCCAAGCCACTTAATCTATTAACAACAAGAATTAGAAGAGTTAGTCGAGAAACTCAATTTTAAGAAATTTGCCCATAGGTAAAACGTTCCATAGCAGCCATTATTGCTTAAGTAAAGCTTTCGCTACTCGTCATTACAGAAGATCTGTGAACCAGCTTCATAACATCGTTAAAAAAAAAAACAGATTTTGTTTCCAATTAATGACTCGACGACTTTGATCCAGTCTAGAGAAACCAAAAAAAACCGAGTGTTATCAATTTGAAAGTTGCGAGATAAAAAACATTGCAACACCGTCAAAAGAACGGTGAAAGGAAACGTAAGCTAGAGATCTCTGTGAAGCTTCTAAATCATCATCATACTGACCTAATGATAGTTCCTTAGCTTGCCAAAAAGTGTTTTTCTTAGCTTCCATCCTGTACTAAAAGAAAACACAATTTCCACCACCGAGGGACAACGAAGACTTGTTGCGAGCATCAGAGACTCGTTAAAGAAGATCTCTCATTAAATAAGACTACTTTGATTTTGAGATTACAACTTAATTATTTTGTTAAAAAGTCTACACGTAGAGATGACGTCATACTTGCCATATAAGGCTTGTTACCATGGAGCACCAAAAGGAAATGTGTTATTGATGAAAGAAGGGCTCAGAATTTATGTAAGGAGTGGAAAGACGAAGGGTATTATTGGGTATTTGACAACTATAACACTCATATTAGTCACTAAAGCAAATGAGGTGTATCTTGTGAAATATGAGTCAAGCTGAAAAGATTGCCACCAGATGTGCAGTTTTTTTTTCTATTTATAATTCTGAATGGGACAGGCAGAAGTTTTCCAAAGGAAATTCCATAACTTTTCTTTACCTAAACTATCTAAGTTGAAAGCAACCCTTTCTTTCCATGAGTACAAACACGAGTTTCAGCTTTGTCTAATCATTCTAAAATTCTACTTGTTTATCAAATATACATCTTCCGACGCTATGATTGCTTTCAAATTAATTAGTTTAAACAAGACAGTTTTGCTAATCAGATATTACAAGCACTTTATGTGACAGTCATCGTTACATCCTGTGACAATTGATGAATCGCGTGCTTTTGCGTGGAGTGAAACATCGGGAAACAATGAACAAGCATGAGGCTCTGAATGTCACGAATATTTAAGAAATCGAAAGTCCAGTTAAATTTACTATGACCTCCATGTCGATTGCATGCTCCCTCACGGTGTCAGGCTTACAAGTTGTTGCTATCTTAGGGATAGACTTATTTCCTTCGAAAACAAGACAAGAGGCAATAGACTATCAGTATCAAATATCTTTTGCAAAACCCTGATCTGCAGTGGTGTTTTGCTTGTGTGTATTTGTGCATTGCTTCCTTAAAGTTTTTGGTCATTGAGGACAAAAACAAGCCGAAGGAATAACTTTTGTGGGCGGAGAATGTAAATAATACACATATTCTAGAACTAAAATACTGTCAGCCTGCCAGATAAAATCCGATATTTTCTCAGGGGTTGTCAGCGGGATGAGGCACTTCAGCAAGTTTTGAATTCAAATTGTCTCTAAGTCGCTCAAGTGAGGATTTCCGGCTAAGGAAAGAAACGGAAATCCATTCATCTCAATAAACAGTAGTTTGAATGATAATATTATTGTTAATGCTTTCTCGGGGTGTTATTATAGCTATCGAAAAGATGCTTTCTCGCTGTATGTGTGTGGAATGTAGGGGTGCGTAATTTAAGGGTCAACTTTATTGGACTTTGAGGGGAAACCAGTACCATTGTAACAAAATACTTAGCACGCCTAACATGGAATTTGTCTACTGATGAAAAAAATGAAAGACAATACCTTTTAATTAGTTAGCATGTTTCATGGTCTACTTTAAACCCATGCCTCTCATATTTATATAACATAGTTAACCGATTTTAAATTTGGACGGGAGAGCGGTTTTAACGCGGATTTTTCAGCTCCGAAATTCACCTTTGGCAAGGAGCAGAAACGTGCACTCGTAGGAGAACTGATTTCTTCTACAAATCTCGGTTGATTTATCTTTTATTTTACATCTTCTTGGGTCTATTTTGCACCGTCCAATCTAAGGGACATCGGTTTTTATGACCAGTTCTTTTTCTGCTTGCAAATACCAGTGAGAATTTTTGAAGTGACGGTTTCTTTCTGCTCTGACTGGTTAAAGTTCCCTACCGCAAAAGTCTTCGTAGCAACTTACCACGAGGACCTCAACGAGCTATCCAAACATCTAAAGAGTAGTATTTATGCGTTTGCTGGTAAAAGGGTAGATAAGATTAGTTTTAAAATCTGTTTATTAACGAACCAAATTAATGACGCATCCCGGGCAAAGGGAACCTTGGAAGCATTATTGACAGAAGAGCTCTCTCGATTTACTTAATTCTCGTGGGAAGAATGATTAATTTTTCCATCATATACGGATTTGAGATTCATCAAGAAATCGAAAATTGCTCTCGGTATTTCTACGTAAAAATTTCCTAATCTTTTCCCAGAAATGAATTAAACTACGTTCGCCAATCACTGTTGGAAAACGAACTTTAAACAATTACCGCCTCCCGGTTAGCTCAATTGGTTAGAGCGCCGGATTGTGTTGTGCAGGAGATCGAGGGTTCGAGCCCCGGCCGGACCAATACTCATGGTCTTAAAATAACTGAGGAAAATTTGCTATCTTTCTATAATATCAAGAAATGGAAAGATGTTCTAGTCTTCTGGGATAAGGACGAATAAACCGTAGGCCCCGTTTCCTGCAGGGTTAGGGGTAGGAGACAGTAATTTCCTACGCACTACATTACTGTGCGGTGGATGTACTCCCCTGGGGTGGGATGTTCGAAGAAACTAACACTACCATGCTACTCTGAAATTCGAACGGAAATAAATTTATGTATGTTTGTATGTACAGTGACCGATGTTTGCCTTGAAATAACCTTTGTCTGCCCTCTCGTCTGCTAATCCTGAAATCTTAATCTAATTGGATTACCAGTATATTGTATAAGCGACCATCATCACGTGCTCAAGGCTCCGCTCAAATATGATACATATGTTCCAAAGATCTGGAAAGTATTCCTCTTTTCGAAGCTCATGATAGAGGCGTGATCTCGAACTCAACACTTTCGCCAAAACTGTACCCAAGACATCACGAAAATGAATGGAGAAGCTCGTCCAATTTAATCTCAAACTAAAGTAATCAGTATTTATTGAAATCTTTCGTGTTTCTCAAATGATGGTTGTTCTAATGAAAGGTGCCAGGTTTGTCTTAAAAATATTGCAAAAATGGCAAAAATGTGGCTCATGAAGATTAACCTTGACTAAATTGGCTAGTCTTAAAGAGAATTCTCAACCTATCCTACTTCAATTTAGTGATAACGTATAAGATGTTGTTTTCCATGTTTAATTTAGCTGTAATATTAGAAAGCGTGAGAACATCACATGCTGCATAAAGTAATAATTGCATTAGTCTAGGAGAATGCATGACACCGAGTAAACTGCTAAAGCCCGTGATAGTGTAAATACGCCTGTACAGAACCTTTGAACTGTAAATCCTTTATTACAGTTTGGAGTTGTCTGAAATTATTATGACCAGGAGAAAGCACTGATAATTTCTTTAAGAACGATGTGGCATCGACAGTGTCTATCCTGTATTTCTGCACACATGATTACACCTGTTTCCGGTAAAAACTCTTCTAAGAAAAAGCGGTGTTCCTAAAGATCAATCAAGCTGAGTAGAGAAGCAGAAAGACTCGATTTGTCATGCTTTTTTTTTCACACAAATCCTGAAACCCTATATCTCCATACCATTTGTTTATTTCTGCATAAAAGAGAAAGATAAGCCTAGGTGTGAAAACGCCATATGTTCTAATTGAAACAACCATTTGTTCTTCAAGGGAATGAACAATGAACATTTCTGGTTGGCATTTAGTTGTACGAGGACCAAATGAAAATGTGATCCTCTCGCCATACAGTAAGTGGTAAGTGGATTTTATTAGCAGCGAGACAAATCGTCATGGCGGGCAAGAGAAAATTCATCACCTTACTTCTAGAATGGAAAATAAGTACAGTGTATTTCTAAAATATGATTGGATTTGGCCGGCGAAGCGAAGACGCTTTGCGTTTGCCATGCAAGCGGCAAGCTTTCAAGGAGTCTTGTAACAAGCAAAATGATACTTTTCGGTTGGCAGGACGACACTTTATCTTTCAGTTAGCAGCCAAAACAAACTAAATGTATTTCCAGGGTGTTACTTTAACAGGTCTGTTGTTACGTAAGGTCTAAAGTAAACCGCTAAGCACTCGCTGTACAGTTAGTTTTAAGCATGAAGTCGATAACCAAATGAAATTTTACAGTTGGCGAGGCATCTCGTTATTTCATATATTTAGGCGCGAGAAATAAATAAAATTCTAATTAAGAGGAATTATTAGCGTGGATCAAAAGCATGCTTCAGGTATCCCCTTACAATTAGAGCTGTTTAAAGAAAACTTAAGATGTACTATCTAAATGATACCAAATCATAGTTTATCTTAGACGTCACTGGAAAATAATGGGAAAATCACGAGTGATTTGATCAATAAGCAGATTTTCCTCCAGCGATAGATTACGGAATTGATAAGATTCCAAACGCCATATGTAGCCAACGCTTTCTCCCTTTTTGAGCATAAAGTGTTTTTACTGATTGTCATCTGCTCCTATCAAATCGATATTATTAAAACCCATCAAAATGAAGGTTTCACAATACCTGCAATATCTTTAGTCCTGCTCAATAATTTCTCATGTCCTTGTAATCGGCCCTCTGTTGCGCTCAATCATCCAGTGTCTCCAGTTGTAATATAGGACTTGGAAATAATACGGCTTGGTTAAAATTGGTGCCTGTCACGTACCTGTCACGTGCCTGTCACGAAAGTCTTGTCGAAGGGAGGCAGGCTTCTACAACAGGTGTTAATTACTTACAGGAGGTACCCCATTCCCCCACAGCCACCAGGTGAGCTCTCCTGAGGGGTATATTGCCGTTGACTATTTCCCATCGCCTTCAACAAAAGTAAGGAAAGAGAAAATAGCACTTTGTGTATATTACCTTTCCACCAGAGAGGCACATTTTCAATTTATGTAAAGGAAATATTGGAAAATTTTTCTTTAAAACGGACTACAATCTCGCGGAGACCTTAACCAAGAGTAAGTCTTGAGTAATGACTACTCGTTAACTCCCCCTTGCGAGAGTAGCTTTATAAGTTGAAATCCAGAGAGAAACTCAGCAACATTGAATTCGAGTTTCGATAGTGATGATGTTACAAGGAGAACCTTTTCGACCCCGGCAGAATGAAAATTGGATAAAGTTGATTTTGCCCGCTACGAAGGGATTGCACTGAAACAAGCTTAACAAATTTTTAATTACAATAGCATAATTAGCTTGCTCTTCATACTTGAACTGCCAACGGTTACAAAACAGTTGAAGATGACAGGATGTTAGAGTTATGACGGATTTTAGTCTCGTTCTCAGTCCTTTCTAATTAGTTCAATTACAGTTTGAGCGATTCCTTCAGCACTTAAAGCTCCATTAACTTGTGGTACTAACGATCTTGCGTTTTAAAATTGTAAACATTTGCCGTTTGGACAAAAATGTTCTCAGTTGTAACAGATTAAAAGAAGAACGCTTCGTTATCAAAGTTGAGGGGGAGACTTCATCAGCTACTCCGATTATTTTCTTGAATTTCAGCCGGAAAGCTTTAGGCTGTTATCCCTGAGAAGTAGGACGCGGAAAACTGTCGAGTTCAAACGTGTTAAAACAGACCTTTGATATCACACCGTGAGATTTGCTTTGATTCAGCTTACAGACCAGGCGCAATTTTGACGAGTGATTGCACTTTGTTCTCTGCAATCTTTGATTTTTAGCAGAAGATTGATGGGAGATGATGGCCAGTTGCCTGGATAAACTATGGCGAGTTTGTATTGTTAAGGGGCCTAATAAGACGCTTGCACTGCAGTCAACTTTAATTCTATTAAACTTACATTTTACATTCATAGTTAACCCATAGCAGATAACTATTACCAATTAAGATTAGAATTTTTAATTGGATTTGATTTTAGTGGTCGTCAATTATCGATGTAAGCTTTAAACATCTTCTTTATTATGGGTCTCCGCTAACAGTTTTTAAGGGATTTTCAATAGTTGTTCTTTTTAATGGAATAACAATTTTCATCCACCCACTTCCACAGCATGATCAAAGTGTTGACACACATTTGTTTCTCAAATGAACGTAATCGATATCCTTGTGCTTATAACTTTCAATTGCAACTAGACTCTTCTTTAGAAATTATTTGTCAGTTAAACCACGGACTGAAGCGTTGTTAAAATGTCAGCACGTCTCAAGCAATTTCAGGAAAGGAAGGAGTACTCCTACCCCTTATCGAAAGGCAGACAAACTTTTCGCTGAATGTAGTATTGTGTTAAGAATCTAATACGTCTTTCAGAGTGATTGCTGGACGCCGTAGACTGGGAAGATGTTTCTTTCGAAATGCTTCTCATGAAAGGTGTCTGGTATTACCCATGGTTGTAAAACGAAACAAGGTTACAGGCGGCATCAACTCAATTATTAATTAATTAATTATTAATTATTAATTATTCCTCGGGGCACTAGCAGGAGAAGTTAAGAAATGTTTATTGGCAAATAAACAATGTAAGTGATCCTGAGACTTTCTTAGGTTCAAAAAAGTCATAGTGTTATTTTCAGCCAAGGATATATATCTCACATTTCTCAGAAAAGAACAGTGCCCACTGCGTCTCGACTAGAACTGTTATTTATAATTCCAGTATTTATAAAGTCAACAGAGGTGTGTGCGTTCCTGCCAAACTCGTAGAGTGAAGGAAAGAATATGATTATTCAGTGGGAGATATCAAAACATCTCGGAAAGAAAATTAATTCGTTCGTATCAATACCCGGTCGTGAAATGGTGGGCTTGGGATGACTCACCGAAGCAACACATCCATGGCTAGCAGACCAATTTCACCAACAGACTGAATTATTGTTTTCGTCAATAGTAAACACGGTCTGTCAATCACGTGAACGTTAAGCTTCCAGTTAAAATACTTTAATTTTTTGTGTCTACTCTGCCTTCCTTCTAGTTTCAGATCCCATGATCTTCGGTTGATCGCATTGAAAAGTAATTGTAATCCACTGCATGATTGTCCAGAATTTTGCAGTTCTATCTTTGCCCTGTTAATAAAATGGAATGAAAAGAATTTTAGGGAACTGCCCCGGCTGATAATAGAAAGTATTTCCTAACGAGTATGTCAGAATTATTGTGCAGTTCATCTTTAGATGATTAGAGCAAGCTCTCGAGAATGCATTTAGCATAAAATTATCTTTCCTGGTCTAATATTTAGTGAGAGCGTGTGCCACCTTTGTTTTTAATCCCTCCAACTGACGTAGAGTGATTAACTGTTCTTAGCATCCTCTTGAAATCAGTGAAAATGAAAAGATAAGTAGGGTTTCTTCAACTTCACTCAAGAGTTTAACTAATCACATATTGATAAATCTATGGTTTCAAGTCAGTAGAAGAAGTGCTGAATTAACTCCAAAACGGTGTAAAAATGCTCAAGGAATGTCTTGAAAGGGCAAAAGTTTAGGTTCTTGCTCAGGCTACATAAGAATGTACATTGACACCTGATCTACTGAGAAAGTGATCCAGACAGTTTCTGAAAGTGCACGTTACGAATTAGTGGAGAACATTCGCCAATCATAGCGATTGATATGACGGCCTCTAAGAATGAAAAGAATGGGACCACAGTTTAAAGAAATCTTTTTTTCCGTACTCAACAAGAATTAGGTTTAAAAAGGTAATCCTATATTATTGCATTTCATTTTCTCGCGTGTTTTGAAATCCTCTCCTTTCCCCCTTGGATCTTTCAACACAGATTAGCCCTGTGTTCAGTTGCCGAAAGTTTCTGTCAAGGGAAGGGAGAAAACCCCATGACCAGTGGATTTGTGACCATTCACTGCCCTTAAGCAACCACGACGGCGACGGCAACGAGGACGTGGAAAAACAAGAGATCTAATTGTCAGAACAATAGCTCAGCACGTGCGTTTTGAAACTTTGTACATTTCTTAGCCGTCCTATGCAAAACAACAACSTGATATCGCCAAAATTTGCGTCGTCTGCGAACCGAAACCGCGACGGCAAATTAATTTAATTTCCATTTGGAACTCAACGCTACTTCTATACGTCATGCTGAAGTTGAGCTGTGACGCTGTATGAGACAGTAAGGTCATGCAGCCATTTTTGAAATTCTAACTAAAAGTAGAAATTAATTTTTTAATCGAAGTCTTCCTTGGCGTTGCCGCCCTGACTGCTTAAGGTCCTTAATGTGTACATGTAAACAGAATGTGGACTAAAAAAGGACTCAGGATAATGACCCCTGACCCTTTTCTGTTGTGTAATTTACATTTAGAGAGAATATTGGTAATTTTCTGTCTAACACTAGTGTTAGTCCTTCGTCAGAGCGAGCTAACACACACACACACAACCTACAGTTCCTCTCTTCGCTCTGACGAAGGGCTAACGCTCGAAACGTCAACATGGAAACTCTTTACGGTAGCCAATTTACATCATCAACTCAGTTGATAAAACCAAATTATCTTACAATACCCCCCACCCCACCCCCTACTAACGCTCAAAACGTCCGCTTTAAAAACTCTTTACGGTGGCCAATTTACATCATCAACTCAGTTGAAAAAACCAAATTATCTTACAATAACCCCACCCCCTCCCCCCCACTAACGCTCAAAATGTCCGCTTTAAAATCTCTTTACGGAGGCCAATTTACATTATCAACTCAGTTGATTAAACCAAATTATTTTACAATACCCCCACCCCACCCCCCACTAACACTCAAAATGTCCGCTTTAAAAACTCTTTACGGTGGCCAATCTACATTATCAACTCAGTTGATAAAACCAAAATTACCTTGTCTTGTTACTCCCACTGACACAGCACCACGGTTTATTTAGAAACTTATCCCCTTTCACATCAATATTACCTTCTTTTGCTGACTCATTTACTAATTATTTTGTCATCGCTTGTCAACTGAACGGTTGTAATAGAGTTGAACTGAATGAGGGGTATCATATGCTCGAACGTAGAAGAATATTCTTGCAATGAAGTTTGATGGATTCTTTCACGAAAAAGTAACTTCCGACGCGAAATGCGACGTTTCGAATGCATACTGCGAGTCTTCTTAAGGCGACGAGGTTCACTTTATGTGTCACCTGTCACCGCACGAGCCGTTGTTCTCTGTTGTGGTTTGTGTATCGCCTGAAGAAGACTCAGTATGCAGTCGAACCGTTTATTTTGTAGGCTGTACACAGACATACAGGGCGTTATTTATCACGCACTTCAGCAGCAACTGCTATGTTTGTTGATTGAGATACCTAGTTTGTTTTAACCTCTCTCTGTACAGAGGTCAATTCTCTACTGTTTTCCTTTTGGAGTCCAAAGTCTCAAGGTCTAGTTATGGCCGGTTATGGTCTATAGGCAAACAAAGGGCAGGTGAACCCTTTCACTCCCTTGATTTCATTTACAATTCTCCTTGCCATCTGTAAAAAAGTTCTTCTTGTGTTACCTCTGATAAGTTGGTGTTATCTCAACTAATCATGATCCCCTAATTAATAATTTTCTTTATTGTCATCTCTTGTCTACGTGATATTGGCATGACAATGTATGAAGAGCTTCCCTCTTGGTCACTTGATCATGGGGTTTTAAAAGAATTAACGATTATAATCAACGCTAGCTGACCTATTTTTTCTGAACTGATGTCAAGCCTATGCGTGTAACATCTTTGGTGCAGATGCCAGAGAATCAGTAAAACGCCTGCAAATGCTGTTCAAGGGGAAAGAGCAGTCATCTTTTGACTTATCAGGCGGTTTGTTGTGTGTACAAGCTCGTCAAAATACGGCACAAGCGGTAAAAATACTCAGTGATACTACACAAAAAAACCTTTACTAAGAGATTAAATACAAAAAATACAAACAACCAGTGAAAATACTCAGCGATACTACACAACCAAACGTCTAATAAGAGATTTATCATCCAACACGGTTGTGCCGTTTTCTGTCGTATTTATTAGGGACCTTAAGCAGTCAGGACGGCAACGCCAAGGAAGACTTCGATTAAAAAATGAATTTCTACTCTTAGTTAGAATTTCAAAAATGGATGCATGAGCTTACTACTCATACGGCGTCACAGCTCAACTTCAGCATGACGTATAGAAGTAGCGTTGAGTTGAATGGAAATTAAATTAATTTGCCGTCGCGGTTTCGGTTCGCAAACGACGCAAATTTTGGCGATTTCGCGCTGTTGTTTTGCATAGGACGGGTAAGAAATGTAAAAAGTTTCAAAACGCACGTGCTGAGCTATTGTTCTGTCCTCGTTGCCGTAGCCGTCATGGTTGCTTAAGGTATTATCCACAACCCGTAAAAATACTCAGCGATACTACGTAACGAAACGTTTTCTAAGAGATTAAATACAGTATTTCTGGAATACAAATACCGCGAGATATTTGTACTCGTCTTGGGCGTTATTTGTACTCTTCGAAGCACATGCAGTTGGATAATAATCAGT